TCGACCAACTGGTCGAACGTGAGGCTTGTGTCCCTACAGGCCAGCTCCCGACGGACGTCCTCTCGTAGACTACACCTGTAGTGATCGACGAGGGCCCGATCATTCCACCCTGCATCTGCCGCTAGAGTACGGAATTCGAGGGCGAACTCCTGAGCACTCCTCCTCCCCTGCCGGAGGAAGACCAGAGGCTACCCCGCCACTTTCCCCTCCGGGGGATGGTCAAACACCGCCTTGAAGCGGCGGGAGAACTCGTTGTACGTTATGGTGTCCGCGTCGATCCTCCTCCACTCCGCGTTGGCCCATTCCAACGCCTTCCTGGACAGGCAGGAGATCAGGGCGGACACGCTCTCATGTCCCGAGGGCGCCGGATGCACGGTGGCCAGGTACAGCTCCACCTGGAGAAGGAAACCCTGGCACCCGGCCGCGGTCCCATCGTAAGCCCTCGGGAGCGAGAGTCGGACTCCTCGGGGTTCTGGTGCGGGAATAGGCTGACTGGCCGATGGTGCTGGCACGGAGGGTGGCGGTGGAGGCGTCCCCCAGCCTCGGATGGTGGTGATCACCTCCTGCAGTGCGGTCCCCATCTGCAGGATCTGGTCCCCTTGCTCCCGGACCCTGTCCTCCAGAGTCGCCTGGGCTGCTGCGGCTCCTGCTGATTCCATTGTGGTGTATTATTCTGTCAAGGCGTGCTGTAGGTGCAGTGGCGGAATCAAACGCAGGACGCAGACGGATAATCCAACAGACTTGTATTAAGCCGAAACACGGCAAACGGACAACACTTGCCCGAAGGCGAAATACGCACGAAGGCGAAAAAGAAACCAAACAGCGCACAAACAGGTGCGTAAACTCCAGCGCAGTGGAGAGAAGCTCAACCGAGCGAAAACACGTCTGACACAATCAATAATACACAACACCTGACAAACACAACGGGAACTAAATAGGACACTAATGACACTAAATGAAAACAGGTGTGACAACACTCAGACAAAAGCAAACGAACATGAAACATACAACGGTGGCAGCTAGTATTCCGGAGACAACGAACGCCGAAGCCTGCCCGAACAAGGGAGAGAGGCAGCCTCGGCCGAAACCGTGACACGCAGTTGTAAATGAGAACTTGTTCTAAACTGGCCTACCTGGTTAAATAAAGGTTAAATAAAAAAATTAAATAAAATGTTTTTCATATTCAAAAAATAAAGAAAAACCCTTTTTTTAAAAAAAAACTTGAAAGGGTTGGGCCCCCCCCTTTTTTTCAACCAAAATTTTAAATTATTTTTCCGTTTTCTGCAAAAAAAACCCTTTTTTTTAAAGAAAGGGGGTTTAAGTCCCTTTTGGGCTCCCCCTTTTTTAAAACGGGGGGAAAAAAAATGGGTTTTCTTTCTTAAAACAGAATTGGAATCAAACTGTCCACAGTAGTGGGGCTTCCATAAATAGGAAATGGCAACATTGTTGTACCCTTTGTTGTATCCTGGAGTTTTGTTCACATTGAATATGAACCCTGTATTTGTACCCTGTACTTTTTATTTTTTAATTTTTTTTGAAAACACCACGGTCATCTTGGCCTGACCGCTCAGCCTGGGGCCTCGTGGGGGCTTCGGCACAAAGTTCTGAGATAAACAACAATATTAGCAAAATCGTATCACCATAGAAACCATCTCTTTCACCATAGACATGACGGTACTGAGTGACATGTCACATAAGGGCTAACTTTAGAATTAGAATAAGAATCAGAATTTGAATGCTATTGGTTCTAACTAGTACAGTAAGTGACCCATGCATCATTATCTCATTGTAAAAAAAAAACTGGTTGAGAACACGTCATTTAACTTACATTACAACCAACTCTCAGTTACAACCAGGTAAAGATTTTTAAAAAAAAACGTCCTTATACAACCAGGGGCATGTTCAGCAAGACAACGTTTAGCAACATTCAGATAGAATTACGCTATAATGAACAAACATGCCTCTTAAACATGTAGAATAAGGAATCACGTAAGCTCTAGTCATGGCATTTGTATCGGCAATGTTCAACAACGTTTTGCCACTGAACATGGCCCAGTATACAACCTGCCCATCCCCTACCAAGGTGCCAATCAAAATGGATGTGGGCGGAGCTCAGATTAGGGGTGACCAAAAATGGACAAGCGTGGTTTAGCCCTATACATCATTAGCATATGAATGACAGCACTATCCACTTGACCAACGAACCAATAAAAATGGATGTCCAATTAAGGCATAGCATTTCTGACCAAGAGCCAATCAAAACGGATGTGGCAGGCACTCGGGATTTGATTCGAAGAGGGGACCAAAATTGGAAGTGGGCAGGGCTTAATCACATTAAAAGCCTAATCACAATTGAAGTAGGTGTGGCTTAGAGCCAACCAGTCTGCTCTGAGAGGTTTGCCTGGAGTACATTCAGCATGCCTAACGTTACAAAACGTTTTGAACGTTTTCCAATTGAACTGATACGTATTTCACTCTGAACTGTTCAAAGCGTTTTGCAACAGAACTCAAAGCCGTTTCTAACCTTTAGGGGGCTGTTCTTGGGGCAGTCCACCAGTGCTGGCAGCCTTGGTCCATTATGGTCATCTGTCTGAAGCACCTGTTCTCCAGCACTAACTTGGAGGGTCCCAGCCTGGGGTAGAGGAATGTAATGAAATAAATTACACTTGAGCCCTCCATTTTTATGCCCACTTTTCCAAACATAAAGCATATCAGTCTGTTTTTGCATAGGCCAGTGGTTTTCAACCCTCTCCTTGGGGAACCCCAGACATTTCACAATTTTGTTGTAGCCCTAAACAAGCAAACCTGATTCACCTATTCAAGGGCTTAATGATTAGTTGACAAGTTGAATTAGGTGTGCTAGCTGTGGAATACAGTGGAACGTCTGGGGGTCGTCAAGGAGAGGTTTTAAAACCCCTAGCATATGGCTGTACTACTAAAAATATTTCCCCATTACAGAGACACACAGATAACCCCCTCTGCGCCCCTGAGTCCCCTCCGCCACCGCCCCACCCTTGCGCCCCCCCACAGGGCGCTTTCGGTCACCCCCTGATCCCACACCCACCCCCTTCCCCCCTCCCCCCCCCCCCCCACCGCCCGCCGACGTGACCTGGGCACACCCCCGGGCCAGACCCGCGGTGTGCCCCCCACCACCCCCGTTACTGAGTCTCTGCCCCCCCTCCCCCCCCCCCTGCTGTGTGAGAGCCCCCCGACACCCTTTGCCAGTTTGGTGTATATTCCCCACCCGCCCCCCACCCACCTGCAGCCCCACACGCCCAGGTCTCTGAGACCCTGTCGCATGATAGGAATCAAATTGAGGTCATAACACAAATACATCTTTATTATCTCAATTTTCTAACATTTTGAATACTATCAAATCATCGGTGTAATGATCTTCGGCGCTGTACATATGCAGGTTTACACAGCAGTACATTTGTCTTGTCCAGGCAAAAGCTCAAGCGTTAAATATTTGGTTGTCAGTCAATGCTATCTTTCTGTGAAAATTGAGCCATTGATGTGTTAACTACGCACAACATCATTCATCGAACGTGGCAAACCTGAGCCAGGCAACATATATCAGAGTGACCAGTGTTTGTGTGACGCGGTGGCCTACGCTATACGTTATTAGGCTCATACTAACGCCATACACGCGAAATGTAGTATGCCACAGCACTACAAGGCACAGACCGTCACCACACTATGCGCACCCCCCGTCCGAGCGCTTATATACAGTTCTGATCCACAGACGAATCCATCTAACACAACGGTTCTAAACAAGGGTAATGTCCCGCGTAACCACAACTGTGTTTGAGGTTCGACTGCCAGTGGGGTCTTTTATGTCCTCCTTCCCCTCTTCAGTCCATGTTGCCCTCTGTGGACAAGAACTGGAATAGTCGCAGTTGTCCAATGTTGTATATCTCCGAAGCTTTGTGCGGTAGCCCCGTGTCGTTGACTGGTCACTGTGAGTACGTGCCTCAGGCTGCTTGCGCCCCCAACGCATCAGCAACGTACCCACACTCTAGTCCTAGACTCCACTAGTTGGATATCAGAAGTTAGGTAGTAATTAACACACTGCATCAATTAAATATAGTTACTCGCAGGGGTATAACTATACACGAATTTCGGTCACATAACTTCACTATTACGCCTCATGTGTATCAGTTTGTCCGTGTGTTGATTAATGGCAGGTTGAGGGCACAAGCTTAGAGTGTCCAAACCTTTGTATTTATGGTACTATCTCGGACTGCTTTCACGACCCCCCCATGGTGTTGTACTACTTAACCTTCGGGTGTGTCATGTAGACTTTATCCCGCCTAGTGTGTGAATTGGTGTGTGACCACGGACAGATCTTTGTCGACTATTAGCCCCCTACCCGTTCAGGCCACACTAGCCTAGCTCCTTTCATATTTCCCTGTCGCAGAAAGGGTTTCGTGTCTATTCTTGGACCCCCCACATTTGATGCCGTGATTGACATAATAAGACCCACATAAGTGTCAAGAGGTTTTGTGCATGTTTCGGCTAGCAGAGGGTGTCCGCTCGCTCTGTGGTGCTTCACACGCTCTGTAGTAGTAGTTCTCGCGCTAGGGCTAGCCTGCAGACAGACTAAATCAGTGAGACGGGACCGAGCGTCAGATATAGACACCAAGGAAAGAGAGGAGACAGGTTGAGAACCGTACTTGTCAAGTCCTGGACTGACCGTGGGACCGGAACGTCCATGGCGCTGCACATGAGCTCTTCACAAGCATTCAGAGGATTGGGGAAAGTGGCGTAGGTGTCGCTTAGTTAGCTAATAGCTAACTATCCTCAATTCATGAAAATACTGGCTCAGAAAGTTGTAACTTGTAAAGTGTTCAATTAATACACAACACACAAGAAACCCGTGTCTTATAGTGCAGTTGCTAGCTATCTGACAAGCTAAAGCTAGCTAGCTAATGAAGGATTTCGAGGAGGTGTCAACCTAAGCAAACTCACCAGAAAGCCAGGTCACATAGGAAGAAAGCATGGAACGGGGGGAGACGAAAAATAATCCTGAATCATCACCAGACACAGGTGACTTTCTGTCAAAATGCATAGGTAGCTTAATAATTATGTAGACGAAAAACGTGCTAACTCTGCTAGTCAAACTCAAATCAGCAAATTATTTCCCGCAATTTCTCAGAAAATGTGGAGCATTTAGAGGATCGTGCTTTGGCGCCCTCATGTGGCGATCAAAGGGACAGCACAGGGGATGCGGCTTGGAAGTCCACGTCCTCATGCCATGACATCAACATGATGGATCAGAAGCTCAGACCCATTGAACAGCAACTCCAGTACCTGCTGAATAAGGCGGATGAGTTTCAGGCACATCTTTTATACAGGTAACGTTAGAGTCAGTTAGGAAAGTTGTTAATGTAGTCTAAGATAATGATAGGTAAAGGTTAGGTGAGTCAATGATTAGCGCACCTAAACTATACAATTGCATCTAGTGGTGTTTCAAGTTATTGTTTATTATTTATCAAAAGGATTAAAGTAATACATAATGAATCCCTGTCCTGTGACATAAACATGTGTGTGTGTTGTCTGCAGACGTGACAATCTGCAAAAGGAAAACTTTGCTCGTGTGGTGCCTACTTTCCTGCGGACCTGTCAGCCCTACTTCACTTACCTGGAGTCGACCGCTCGCAGCTCCCTGCCCCAGCGCACGCCTCTGCCCGTGTACATCCGCTCACGAGTAAGAGCCTTTCGAAACACAATCCTACTCACCTGAATCCGGGTAGGACAAAACTGTCCCTCTTTATTGACAAGTGTTGCTGAATCGCCTCTCTATCCTCAATTCATGCACCTTGGTTGGAAAGTGAGGTAGCGGCAGTGATCCCTTCCCTTTGCACTGTTTATTGATATTAAATGTATTCTACACTTCACACAAACATAAATGTCTCTGTGAATCAACTCTGGTCAAGAATAAAGGCTTATGAGAGGTTTGAGAAATAATAGAGAAAAATCAAGAGATGCTGTAAACTGAGAGTGGTGTGTATTGAGTAATTGTGTGTATTTGTCTGTCTGTCTGTCTGTCTGTCTGTCTGTCTGTCTGTCTGTCTGTCTGTCTGTCTGTCTGTATTTATTTATTTTATTTATTTATTTATTTATGTGTTTGTCCATCTCTCCAGTTGTTAGACTTCTCCCAGCAGCTGTGTGCGAGGCTGGAGCAGCTGGTCTTGACCTACGCCTCCTTTGACTTTCTCTCTCTGGAGGAGGCTGAGCCGGCCAGGTGCTGTACTTACCAGAAGAGGCTGGTGGGAGGAGCTATAGGACGGCCTCATTGTAATGTCTGGAGTAGAGTAAATGGAATGGAGTCAAACATGTGGTTTTCATATGTTTGATGTGTGTGATACCATTTAATTTATTCCATTCCAGCCATTACAATGAGCCCGTCCTCATAGCTCCTCCCACCAGCCTCCTCTGGTACTTACACCATAACATCTGAAGGCAGTGAGCCACTAAACACACACATAGGCACATACAGACGCATAGCGCCGCTGTCGGGTGAAAACCTCATCTCCAAAACAGACACTTTTCAGGAAATTGAAAAAAACTCCCATATTAGACTATTTTTAACGAACATACAATTTCGAGATTTCAGAAGCTATTTTGAATACATTTTCTTGGTCCTAGAGTTATGAAATGTTCAGAGTACACTGAGGAAAGTTAGTGCTTTCAACACAAAATTTTAGTTACAAGGTTTTCATCAGACAGCGACGATATGTACCAACACTACTTGAATACCTGTATTTAGATCCACAAATGGAACATTCTGGAGTATGAGCCAAATATTTTAGAGGACAGCTGCTTGGACTTGTCAATCCTTATTCTCATTCGTCTGACATTCATTCCACAATCCTTCATCCAGCCATTTATGTATCTATCATTCTCCCCTCTCTCCATTCCAGTATCTCCCATTTCTACATAGGCAAGTGTCAGATAGACAGTGTGAGGCTGTCCATATACCGGTACTGTTGTCCAGCCCCGTACCTGGCTGGGGTCGACACTGGCCTGTACAAACGCATGCGCTGGAATGTGGAGAGACCCAGAGAGAGCCTACAGCAGGAAACTGATGGCGAGATGGAGGGAGAGACAGTGGAGGACAAGCCAGTGGCAGGGAAAGAGAGAGCCACCAAGACAGAGTAGTGAGTGAGAGCGAGAGAGAGGGGGAGGTAGAGAAAGGGTTAAAGTAAGGCATAACATGTCAATAAACAATAATTGTAGTACAATATTAGTGCCAAGAATACTTTGGGACTCTTTTGAACTGAGATGTTGGATGACAATGTACATTTTGGAATTCAGGCCTAAGAACAGTTGATCAGATGGCATCTCACTGCCTGTGTCTGTGTCTGTATTTGTGTGTGACTGTGTGTGTTTCTCGAGCAGCTACTTCCTGTGCTACGAGGACGTCCCAGAGGAGCCCACTGATGGGGGCGATGGAGAGGGTAAAGGGGAGACGGTTGCTATAGGCAACGTGGTCAGGATGTGGTCAATCGGTCAGTGGGTCCAAACACAGCCGGAACCTGTGACAGACGACATCTACGAATGGTACAAAGTCACACTCAGATCGCTACACAACACTCTTTCATCTTTGACTTGTTTAAATAAGATTTTCTACTTAAGACTAAGTACCTTACAAGTACCATGTTAATATAGCTCACACTGTGTGTGCCTGGTGCGTGTGTGTTTGTGCGTCTCTATGTGTGTGTGTGTGTGTGTGTGAGTTCCAGGGTGCTGTGCTGGGTTCCACAGGCTCAGTACCACAGGCTTTTGTGTCTGGGAGGAGAGGAGCCCACTGCCTGCAGTGCTACTGACTGTCTACTGGGGGCGTTGTTCTCTCAACAGAGCCCAGTGGAAAGCCCCAGTCCTGAAACAACATAAGAGACAAACCACTGTTCTAGTACTATCTTTGACCATAACATGTTCCCGTTGATTAAAGGATTTAACATTACTTATTGTTAGTTTTACATTGTGTTATGTTCGGCTAATGTTTTCAAATCTAAGTAACTATTGGGAAGGACATTAAGGACTGAACACTGAAATAGCTCTGGTTCCAACTAGACAGTCATACATGACAAATGTTTCCTTATGGTTCCTTACGTATTGTATAAAAACAAATATAATTTCTAAAGATAGCAAGTTTTATTACCAATTCCCTACCAGCTAGTGATACATTTGAACTGTATCTGATGTCTGTTCATATCCAAGGTTCTATTGAGCACACAGTATGTTACTGTATTGTGTGGTTGTTGGAAATCATTTTGTATGACGTTATGAATAAAAGTATTGACCTGTCATTCATTTGTATGGGAGTGTTATTTTATGAAAGAAAACTATTTATTGAAAATAAATCATTGTGTTTCAGAAAACAAAAATAATTGAATATTTTCAAAACATGGGGTCTCAGTACTGTACTTAAATTGTAAATTATTTGTTTGTAAACGATGGAGTAATTAAACATTACATTTTTCCATATGATAAAGATAGAGTAATTATTTTTTCTTTATTGATAATATTTCACGTTTGCAGCGCTGTTCTATTTCTATCACGCAAAACAGCCTACTGTGACATCTAAGCAGTTCAGAATGAAAAGCGTTCTGTTTCAGAATACTTTCTAGCGCTGTCCTTGCCGCAGTTATTTTTAGTTCACTTGCACCATCTAGTGGTGATCACAATGTCTTATGTTTGCCAAAGATTCTAAAGTTCTATATTTGAGCATTCTTTGAGCATTCTATAGTTCTATTTTTATATACATATATTCTGAATTCAGACTGCTATAATACACTACTTGGTTACATTGCTCGATTGTTTAGTTCTTATTTAGGATTTACATAAGTTTTCTAGCACAGTTTAGCAGTTTTTAGTTGAGTTTTCTGTAAACAAATATTTTCTAGCTGTTATACTGGTCTCCTGGTGATACCAAATATGGATGACTCTACATCCATCCAAGGGTCTTCTTGGGTCGATTGTTACCTTGATGAGCAGGTAAGTTTGCCATTAATTATACAATAGCTCTCATGTGTATAAGCATCTATTTTGATGTTCTCCTTTAGTTTTTAATACATTTTGGACCGACCACATCCATGACAAATCTGTGATATCCTGAACAAAATGACATTGTCAAGGCCATAAAATAAAATGTCCTGTGTGATACCACTGCTAATATTAAACTCCTACTGTGCGTACAGATGTTGAAGGTGAAGGGTCGCCAGAGACTCCATGAGATCGAGCAGGAAGTTCATAGAGAGCTGAGCGTGACACTAAGCCAATGTCACCAGTCCCCAGGAGAGGTATACTCATACTTTTCCATTCCCTAAACTATAGTACACCATTGCTACCATCCACATAGACTGTTTATTTACCTGTTATTGCACCTTAAGTTCACAAAGGAACAGTATGAACTAATGTCTTCCTCTCTTCCGTCTGAAGGTAGCCATGGAGGGGCAGCAGCTCCTGACTGACAAGGCCAAGCCATGGGTTACTTCCCATGAGCATCTTGGTTCTGCAGCTCTGATGAGTGGCGACACAGCAGGTATGCTCTCAGAGAAACAGGCCCAACCTGAGATCAGGTCAGATGAGATGCTCCAGGTGGAGTTCCTCAGCCAGACCCAGGTGGAGATTCCACAGGAGGTCAGGGAGGTCATGGACAGCCTGCTGGACAAGGTGGCGGATGGAGAAGCCCAGGAGAAGAAGGCTGAGGTCTTCAAGGCAAACCTGATCCCCTATCCCTCCTCATCCTCAGCAGTCAATGTCATGAAGGTCCTGGAGAGCCAGGTAGACAAGGTAAGACTGGATCCTTTATTTGTGCATTTTTGTTGTATACTACACTCTTAGAAAAAAGGGTTCCAAAGGGGTTCTTCGGCTGTCCTCATAGGAGAACCCTTTTTGGTTCCACGTAGAACCCTTTTTGGTTCCAGGTAGAAATAACACTTTTGGGTTTGATGTAGAACCCTCTGTAGAAAGGGTTCTACATCGAACCCAAAAGGTATTCTACCTGGAACCAAAAGGGTTCTACCTGCAACCAAAAATGATTCTTCAAAGGGTTCTCCTATGGGGACAGCTGAAGAACACTTTCAAGTTCTAGATAGCACCTTTTTTCTCTCAGTGTAGTACTATACCTGTACATGTAATAAGAAATACACTACAAGACATGTGCTAGGCAGTAAAGACACCAGAGGTGTACATAGAACTAACATTACAATGCCTTTCTTTCTCTACCACGTGAAGGAGAAGAAGGTTGAGGTCCTTGACCTTAGCACCTGTCCCATACTCCAAACGGCCCTTACAGACATTGAGACCACGATGAAGACTGCATACAAGACCATGCCAAAGCAGATTGTGGTACTTGGTTCTACCATTAAGCATATCATCACCCAGGTGCTTCTTCAAGTAGATCCCCAAGCCTTTCAGGAGGGAGTCTATTTGGAGACACCTGTTATCATCAACAACACCAAAGCTCTTCTGTGGTCTATTCCCTGGGTTCAAGTAACTGAGGATGAGGAGATGTCTAACACTCAGCAGTCCATTGATGCTTATGAGGTGGCCAAGGCTGTTATCAACAACCTGGAGGAGGTTCTAGGCCCAAAACCTGTGCTGGCGAGAGCACTGGGAATCAGGTCACACATCTTGACAAGGTACATTGTTCATCTCGTAGGTCTATGCATTTCTAAGACAGTGCCTGATGTTAATGCTGCCAATGAAGAGGAGAGACATATTAGTCAGGATATGGTGAACATCTGTCCTCTACCTGCTAGATTGATCATTAGCGGAGAACTGTTCAATGACTTCGTAGTGAAGTTTATTCTAAAACTTCATCCAATGAACGGACACGGTACTAAACAGCTTGACCAACAGGCTCTGCTCTTACTGGTTGTTAAAATGGCCTCAGTAGCTTTTAACATCTTGAGGAAGATTCCAGGTATTTCTGTGGATGAAAAGCTGTGCCCCCCCTTCTGCAACATGAGGCAGACAGTGTTGCACATGCAGAGTGCCATGATACATCAGTTTGGCACAACAATCAAGATAAAAAAACTGGTTGCCATGAAGGACCCGGTGATCATCTCCACCATCCCCAGTGCTATCTGTGAGGGGATCCTAATGGTGTACAAGGGCATTAGTGACACCTATCCGCTTCAAGTCCTCGGCCCACAGCGTCCAATTGCTAGGAGCTGCGAAGAGGCAATGGAGAGCAAGCTCTTTGCAGTAGCCCTACCCGAGGACCTTAGGAAGACCATCTACAATCACTACGGGTCCCAGGTCGGGAAACTGGCACTGTTCCAGAAGGCTTTCCCTTTGAATGACCACATCAAGTTGGACTACATCCACCGTGTTTCTCTGCCTCGTTCCTCCAACAGAGATGTAGTCTGGATCGACCCCAAATACTTTGTCGGGGACGACGATGAGGAGGTTGTAACATCAAGCAACACAGTCCCCGTTAATCCTCTTGCTCTCGACGTCAGTCAGGCTGCCTTTTTGAAGCAGTTCCCACAGACTGATGTTTTCGAGTCAACCACAAAGGACTGTGGAAAGCCTGTGCAAGACCAGGCTCAGAAGGAGGCAGAGAGGAACAAACCAAAGGACTGTGGAAAGCCTGTGCAAGACCAGGCTCAGAAGGAGGCAAAGAGGAACAAACCAAAGGTGACAAACCTTGATATTGTTCCTGTTAGTCTTGTCAGGAAAGTCTTTGACTCTGTCTTCCCAGATTCATGCACAATCAAGCAGCAGTACGGTTCATGGGAAGACGTCCCACTTTGCAATGATATGGTAGAGCACATAGATATCCAGGTTCAGAAAGAGGCACTGAAATACCAAAACCAAAGACTGTTCTTATGCACTCTGAAGAAGCTCAACGATGAGCCAGACAAGATGGCCACATTCTTAGAAGACGTCTCACTCTCTATCAGGAGCAACTACTTCAGGACTTTCCGTGAGTGGCCATTGGTTAAAGCCCAGCTATACCCAGACATACGGTCTCTGCTGGTCTGCGATATCATGGTCCGAGAGATCATGGCTCAACTGAGGCCTACCTTGACCTTCGCCAAGGACACCAACAAGGGTGATGACCGGCCATACTGCATCAACATCCCGGTCAAGAGAGAGACCAGCTGTCCAGATAATACAGGTAGAACACTGTTACTGTTGGTGTGCTACATTCAGAATCAGGCCTAGTCTCTTGTAAATTACTTGTATTCCACAATGTTCTTTCATTCACAATTTCACAACAATATCCGATGTAGAGTAAACAGCTACATGTAACAGTCAGCTAACCAGTTGGACAATAACAACTTGAACTCTTCACTTCCGTTCAAATGTCCTATCTTGTCCTATCACCATTTTCCCTAGACAAGACCAAGCTGGAGCTTTGCATTGAGAAAGCCAGTGCTGACAGAATGAAGAAACTCCTCCTTGAGAAGGTAAGCTACACTGTATTCTGTGTTGTCTCATTGATAATTTCAGTCAATTTGAATGTTGTCTGTCCTGTACTGAGCTGCAGCTTCAGCTTTGCCAGGTTGCTGATGCTGATGGCTTCCTGCGGTTTGTTTCCACCACAGGAGGCTGCTGTGGGGAGGGCGGCTAATAACAATATCTGGAATGGAGTCACTGGAATGGTATCAAACACATGGAAACCATGTGTTTGATGTGTTCGATACCATTCCATCGATTCCGTTCCAGCCATTACTATGAGCCCGTCCTCCCCAATTAAGGTGCCTGTAGTTTCGACTCACCAACTCTGTTTGTTCACAGGAACCCGAACCCTTCTGGATGAAGGGATGGATGGCAATGATGGAGGAGGAAAGTAATAAAAAGGAGAAGGAGAAGGAGAAGTGTTGCGGCTGGTTCTGGGGTTTGTTTGGCCGTAAGAAAAAAACAGCGAAGGAATTGTGGATGAGGGTTTGTCGCAGGCGCGGATACTAGAAATGACATCCACACAAACCGAATGTATGGACGCACACACATTTACACGGAGACAGATATAACAACGAAGCCTACCGCAGATCCCAAACAGACAACATGTAATAGCATGTCTTATTTTCCATTTTGGGCTACAGGATGTGTATTTACAGCTTACCAGAGGCTATAGTTTATTTTTATGTCTTTTGTATGACTTTTATATTCTAAAGACATGACTTTTGTGACTTTTCTTACTTTTACATGATATAAACAAATAAACCAATAAACAATTTTATTGTTCTATGGTGTAGCCTGAAAATCTGTGTTTTAATATGTGGTTTTTGATTAGATAAACACATTTATTTTGCTGAAAATACATTATGTTTTGAATTTTGGGCTTTTGCGATAATGTAGACAGTAGACTATTCAAATTAATTGGTTAATTAACAACAATTAACATTTGGTGAATAAATACGCTTTAAATAAAAACGCTTCCATGAAGTCTAGTTATCTGAAACTGATCATTTACAAGAATAAATGGTACAAAGAGTAGAATATGAAATGCTGTAGCTGCTAGATCTAGTTGGACCCCTGGACATTTCTAACACTTCTTGACAATCTTGCTCAGAAACGCAGCAAGACCATAGCTGTAATGTAAGGCATGCGTTTGGAAAGGAGAGCTCACCTCTACATAGTCTACATGATATGACCAAGATGTACCATAGTGGGGCAGCATGTGATTATAACTTTGCAGCCAAAGTGCATAAGTGATGATGACGGAACTCTGTCAATCATAACCATGCTAACCATGCTTTTCTTATTATTTATTTTAAAACAATATAACACTTTGTACAAACATATTACTTGTAAATTATACTGCATATCTGTTATGTAGTCTATAAAACGTATCAGGTCTGAGGTTTTTAGGAGTACATTCATGATGTGATTCCAAGGAATGAAGGGAATTATTAACCTGGACCAGGTCTTTGTAAGTCCAGGTACCAGTCTAGCTAACATTCCACCCCTTGCCACTCCTGTCAAAGGCATGGTACCCAGGCTAGGTCTTTGTACCTTCTTACATATAAATACAATTACAATAAAATTCAAATAACATACAGTATTACATATAAGACTAACATTCTTGTACTTTGCACATTGACATTCTTAAGTCTCCAAATAAGGAACAAACTGTAAAACAACACAGGTACAGGAGGGTTGTAGTGTGGAAGTAAAAATGGGTTTCATTTAGGAGATAAAAAACAACGCAAATTAATTGTATATTCTTTTTTGTATCGTTGAAAGAGTTTTATTTGCCTACTGTGACCTACGGTTTGTACATAGTCAGCGTATGTCCTCTGTAGAGAATCTAGATGTACTGTATGCTGTACAGCCAGTCAATGCAATTTCCAGCTTCCAGCTTTCATACAATTGCACACTCCTCTGTGTAGAAAGCTGGTACCCACAAAAGATTAACTCAGGTCTGATGTTTTTCTTAGTCCACTGAAAACCCCTTATTCTAAAGAGCTTGCTAGTTATACCCTACTCCCTACAAAGTGCACTACTTTTAACCAGAGCCCTATGTGGGCTATATAGGGAATTGGGTGCCATTTGAGAGACAGTCCCAGTGTTCCCCAGTCACACGTAGCGTCCACTGGACTTGATCTCCGGACACAGCCAGGCCTCCAGGTCCTCTATCTTCATGGACTCTTTCCGACTGGTCAGACTGGCGGCGCGTGTGATCTTGGTCAGCGTCTCCTCGTAGGGCGGCGGCAGGTAGACCATGACGAACACACTGTCCGACATGTCAGAGCTGGTGCTGGTGTGGCGTTCGCGTTGGCCGGTGAGCGAGGAGAGGAACTCAGCGCTGCTCTCGGCGTCCTGGAGGTCCAGGGCGATGATTTGGGCCAGGCTGAGCTTGGGAGAGGAGCACCTCCAGTAGGCCAGGAGTACCAGGAGGCCCAGAATGAGGAGGGAGGCGACGGGGAGGACCACATAGAGGAGCAGCTCTGACCTCCCCTCCTGGTCGAGGTTCAGCTCATTCCAGTTGTAGCCCTGGTGGTTTTGGAGGGGAAAGGGTTAATAAACCACATCATTCAAAGGACAGAAAAAAGATTCCCATAAAATACATTCAGGACTATGTTAAAGATATGAAATCTGAAAATCAGTAATGGGTTTTGCCTCAAAACGGCAATGTTCCACTGGATCAGTGTTGATCCTCTTCCATCTTCTCAAAACTGAACATACATGGTTGTGAAATCAAGATATCCTACAGAGGCTCAATAGAGCTTATGCCATTTGATATTGCCTGAGTGTTCTATTCCCCTGTTGACACAATCAGTGTCCCAAATTCACCCGACCAATCGGTTTCAGTGTTCAGATAATGCTGATCCTCATCTGGATGACTGACTAAAGACCCGTCAACATCACTCCGCTCTGCTGAAAGTCCCGAAAAGCTTTCCTTTGCCATTTCCCTGACATGAACTGCACTCACAAGCTCTCATCATAGTGGTGATATCCAAGACTATTCCAAGAGGCTAAGGCACTCAACTAACAACAACAAGAGTGTGTAGCCTGCAGAAGTCTGTGTAGCCACAGGCTGGCCGAAGTGCCTTGGACAGCGCTCCTCCAGTGAGGAAAAATTCAAGACAATATAAAAGAAAAAATAATACACTTAAAAAAGTAGTGTTCAGAATAATTTTCGGTCTGTTCTTTAGATTGTTAAGCCAGTATGCCACCTACCTCCTCCCAGGTGTAAAGCAAAAAAGTCAACTCAAAAACTGCTGCAGCTCTCCAGGACTCAGGTTGCCTACCTCCTGGGCCTACCAAAAAGTTACATCTCTGGGTCTCACAGTAGTCTACATGTAAAGACTACTGCTGAATCAGACTCACTCAGTAACAACAAGCTGATGATCCCTTACCTGTAACTGTCTCTCTACCGTGGGGGGAGAAGGTGACCCAGTCACCCAATCGATGGACCCTCTGCCGGCTGGCCCAAACTTTATCCAGCTGCTGTCCAGTAGCGTTCGCATGCTGCCGTGGTGTCGTTGTAGGCAAACGGCTAAACTGAGTAGCAGAACTCGAGACAAACACGTCCGACTACTAAGCGCTTATCCAGAGCGACTTACAGTTAGTGAGTGCATACATTTTCATACTGGCCCCCCCGTGGGAAACGAACCCACAACCCTGGCGATGCAAGCGCCATGCTCTACCAACTGAGCTACAGGGGACACTTACTTGCATCGAGTCATTCGCCATCGTTTTTCTAGCAGGCTTTGTGTGGTCGTGTTCCAGTGATGAAGCCGTTCTAGACCAGACCAACTAGACTGGACACATGCGATTGCCCGGCGAGTCCTCACAATGGTCTTCTCCACAAATTTAGGCAGGTAGATTGTCAAGTCATCCAAATTTCGCGCAAATATGCGCTCTGTCCAAAAACTCACCACTATATTCTCTGAGATAAACAATTCTCAGTCAATGGTCAAAGATAATCCCATTGTTGTGTCGCCTCAATGCACCACTGCCCAAAGAAGCTGGTGATCCCAAAATGTTTGTCTAGTTTCAACAAAAGGTTCGTTCAACAAATACAAAATGTTCCCGGGTGTGTCTTTAAAATATCAGCAGGGTAAAAGCCTAAAACAAAACTGTTTGATTCAGTTCATTGTTATTTTCTTTGGAGGCTAGCTATCAACAGCTAGAGCACAAGGGGAACAAACGGCACGACTCCCTCCCTATCCGCATAACAGACTCCGAAGAGGGATAGAGATCCATTGCTAACATACAACGCTACAGAGGCAAAAAGAACTGTAACATCCGTGAAACATGAACAAGCGTCAGTCTCCCAGTATCACATTACACAAAAGCCTTCTTTTAATCCGCTTTGAGCCATTTTTGCGTTACAAACGGACTACCTTATTGTTGGTGAACACATTATATGGAGAGGGAGTACAAAACCAACGACGCTAGACGGAGTGGAATTAGGTTTAAGCAAAAGGCAGTTTATTAAACACAGAGATAGCTGGTACTGCTCAAGCTACATGCATGGGATCCTTCTAATTAACATGCATGGACCTAATCATATGCCACGCTAATAGTGTCAGCTGAGAAGGATAAAAAACAGAGTTTACAGCATTACTTTATACAATGTAACATAGAGGAAGGGGTCCTTCTTCTAGTCCTTTGATTGGTTCCCGAGGCGTAGGAGGCGGGTCTGCTCTGTCCAGAGCAGAAGCCCCATTGGTGCACGGCAGAGTCCTCTGCCCTTGGCACCCGACCAGTAGAAAGAAATGCAGTTTGTGTGTGTGCGTCCACAGAGCAAAGAACTCGTGAGGCATGAGAATGAGTGTGCGTCCACATTGAGATGTGTGTGTGAATGTGTGTATGTCTCAAGGGAAAACTCGTGGGGAGCCACATAGATTATGGCCTGTGGCGTGGGTGTTGTCCTTGACAAGATATGGTCCTCTGTCCATTGTTCTCGCATAGGAACAGCATTGATTGAAAACAAGCTCCTAACACAAAATGGGTCATGCACAACATTTTAGTCAGACCAAGCTATAACATTTTATATTTACTACGACAAATCCCCCTCTTCACGTCTTCTAGACGTGATCCATTAATTATGTTGGCATTAAGCATAGTTGAATCAGTCTTAAAAGAAAAACAATAGTTGCAGGAAAGAAAACAAAACATGATAACGCATAATGAAATGGTAAAAAACATTCAAACCATCCCCCTCTAGCATACTAATTATATGGCCAGTTAATTAAACAATGTTATTCCCCCTCTAGTGAGTGATTATATGGCTAGTTAATTAATCAATGTTAGTCCCCCTCTAGTGCACGATTAAATACATCAAAGCTGTTATTCAAATTCTATTTCATCTTCATTTTGGTGTCAATTTTGGTTTTGGCTGCTCAAAACAGCCCTGACTTCTGTCAGTGATCTAGAAGGAGTGGGGGCTGGTGTGCAATGAGTTAGATGGTGCCAGGGTACGCCTGATTTACCTCTGACCTGGACTGAGTGTGAAG